CTCCACAGTGCATTCGCAGAAGAACGACAAATAAGAAACTAACATTTCACTGTGGCGCAATAAAAATAAGTGTGACCTAAACCCATGAAGTTTCAATGGAAATGGCGAAATGATTCTCAGTTAAAATCATCGCTTTTAGCTTACTTTTAAATGACACATACTGCCCCAAGTGGGTGCTTATGGGGCTCGAGAAGCCTGCTGACACATACAAATGAATGGGTTAAAACAGAACGGTATAAGTGACATCTTATAAAGTCTGAGAAAATTGTGTTTTTATTAGGCTAAATTTCAGTACCAGTGTAATTTCGTGTTTTTAATAAACAATTGAAATGCCGTGGTTTTACTGATGAAAAAATCGCCACGACTTTACAGTGATATTGAATTAAATAAACAGTTTTCTCAGAATTTATAAAATGCCACTTATACCGTTCTGATTTTCATTCATTCAAAAATAGTTTTTACTAATTTCTTATAGTAACTACAGTCATTCAATAACTCGATTGAATTCGTTATAAACAACTATAAATGAACATATAAAATGGAGTTTTAAATTCATAAAAAATAAAAATTTTTTTGTAAAAACACCAAATGGAATAAAGCAACTCCAATAAAAATTCCCTTTTGCTACACGGAACATACAAGAGATTAATTGTCATTAAATTTGTTTACAAGACTTTTGTGTTTTGGTAATAGTCTATCTTTTATTAATTTGAATTGATATACGGTATTTCTCGCCACGACACATTTTGAAATTAACTGATATCACCATGAATGTGTATTGTGTTAAGAGAGACAGTTCCTTCCCCATGTTTTCTGTTTATTTGCTCCTACGCGCTAATTTGAAATTCATAGAAACATTTTCAAATTATGTTCAAAAATTGGCGACCAAAACACCACAACCACATTCATTCATATGACAAAAATATCTTTAAATTAGTCTCCTGTAAAATTAGGTAAACGTAACTTAGTATCTTTTATCTGCGCGATAAGTGATTTTCAATATAGCAGATGAAGAAATTAGCAAACAATGCTAATTTTTGAGTCAAAATAATCTTAATATCTAAATTATCTAGATGAAAGAAGTTAACTCCGAATAAATTAAATAAAAGAAACCGAGGAATGGAAAGTGTTTCTGAGTACATAATTTCAGAGATTCTCTAGAGAAAGTAAGAAGGAAGGTAGGAGCAATAGTTACGAGAGAAAAAAATGGCGAGTAGTAGTAATGTCTTGAGAGAAAAAAAGAGAAAATAATATGTAGGAACAGGTGGTTTGTTTTCTTTGCTATAATCTTCAAAAATATTTAAATTTAGAGTTTTTATTCCAAGCTTTGCGTATAAGAGACGATACTCAACTCCATATATGCATTTGGGCCGTGAAAAGCTATTATTAAAATATTAATAATAATTGTAATAATAACATCAATAGACATAATAATACGAATAATACTACATTAGTTTTTAGAAACTCTTTTAATGAAGTCACTTATTCACTTAACATTACACAACAAATAGGCGTACTGGATACAAAATATTTGAGATCGGAAGTATTTTGATCTGTTTAAGGTGGTCAGGAAACCAATTTCCGTTGCATTTCTCAGTCACGCGGGAGAGAAAAGAACCCAATGGTCTCTCAATTGGTGCGCAACTAATGTTAATTCAAAATAATATATTACAATAGTACTAAAAACTAGTCTTTATTTTAACAAGCTAATCTCATGCAGTCAAAACACTTCTGTTAAAATATTTAATTATTGTTCAAGAATGTAATGTAGGCGTAAAAATTAGAGTATATCAATATCCTATCATGAGCACAAATGTGCGAAATTTTTGCACAGGTTCAGCTAGTATTGTAAAATTGTCTAAATGAGGCAGTCTCAATGGATTTAACATGACTTTGATGTTTTTATGTTGCTGTCGTACACTGATGCATTCATTCAGAGTGGATCAGAATAAATACAAGAATACTCAGAATTACAAAATTCTAGAGTATGTACAGTATTCAGGGGTACTAGTATATGACAAATGATCGCTTTTTGCCAACGGATTTGGGATGAGAAATCTCATTTAACGAAGTTACACAGCTGACATTACTGTTAACGCGCGTCTAATTGTTAGGCAACCCTTTCAGCACTAGTGTGTAGCAGGTTCAGGAACTCTCCCACAACAATGTCAAATTATTCTGCAACAGCAGGTACAATAACTGTCACAGTAAGGTACATTAACTCTGACATTGAAAGGAAGAAGAAGTCGGTCACAGCAAGGTACAAGAACTCTGCAGCAGCAAGGTACAAGAATCGGCCACAGCATGGTAAAAAGAGCCCGTCCTCAGCGGATACAAGAACTCTGAAGACGGTCGTCCCCTAAAAAAAATCACTTACCTGCTAAACACCTATGCAGAATAAGTTGCCTAGCAATCAGGGGCGCATTGTCAGTAATGCCAGTTGTGCAACTTTATATGGGATTTCCTACGACATGGCGATTGGCAAACAGGATGGGTTGGATCACCTTCGACCTTTCAACATGCCCAAGGTGTTTTAATGCACATTCTAAATCACACTGTATACTCTACAAACCCCGCCTCATTTCCCATTCTTAGGGTCTCAGGGAAATTGGAACGCAATTGGAGACCACTCGGATGGACCTCAGAAGCGTGAGGTCCATTGCAATCTTCCCATTGGATCCTAAATCTAACGACGTGAGTATCGCTGAGAAACACAGAAGATGAGGGGGAGCAATCTTGCACCGGAATATGGGAAAAATTTAGACGAAGAGCCT